CCGCCGCTTCCACGCCTGCGTGGTGACAAAGGTGCCGGTGGTTGCTGGCAGGCCCCGCCTGCGAGGCGAGGCCCGGCCCGCCAGCGGGGCGCCGGGAGCGGCCGCGGGAGAACAAAACCGGGACGGTGGGCGTGGGCCCTGCGTGAAAGTGCGGCAGCGGCCATTTAATAGCTGGTGTTGGGGCGGCCATTTAGTAACAGCGGTACGCGCAAACGTGGGCTTCTGTGCGTCGGCCCGGGGTCAGCCCGCACGCCGGCCGAGTTCTGCAGCGCTGCTCACCCTTTCATACTTCTGAAACGCCAAATTCATTTTGCTTCATTCGGGCTGTGTGTAAACGCACCCCGTAAAAAGAATGTGGGTTTGTAACGTCGTCTGCCTCGTTAGGCATTTTTTTCACACTTCCCTTTTTTTTAACCAGAATGCCAGCTTCTCCTGCGTTTTCGGCGTTGAAGAGCTGATCGATACCGTACTAACGAAGTGGCGACAGGGAATTTGTAGGCAGTGGGGAGATTTTCTTGGGTTTGCAAATCAGTTCCTGAGTTGGAGACAGGTGGGATAGTTTTACAGAGTCGTGGGCGTGCCTCCAGAAAACGGGATACCGGCAGAAAGAATCCGCTTTGGAGGAGGAGGGATAGGTGGAATTCCCGTTGTCTTTTTGAAGAGAACAGTACTTGCATCTGGTGTAACTTGTTTTATTTTTAATGGGGCATTATTAACGTCATCATATGCAAGATAAAAATCATGTTTACAGTTAGGCTGAGAAAAACAGTTTTGGGAGTGGATCCAAAGTGGTAGGCGGGCATACATTTGTTTTCAAATTTGTTCCGAGTAGAGTATCAAACAGCAAGTGAAGCAACAACATGTGTTCTTATTGAAATAGTTCCTTTGGTGCTGTGTTTGGTTTTGCAGAAACTAAGTGTTGGGACAGAAGTTAGGTGACAGAAACTTCTGTGAAATTTGTATGTGGTGTATACAGAGCTTGCGTTTATGAAGTGTGTATATATATGTGTGTATGTTTATATTTTGCATACCAAAAAACCCCAAAGAGTAATATTTTAATAAATGTTTTTACTCAGCTAAGGTCTTGCTAGATTTGCATTTGTGTATGTCTACCTTTCGATCTCAGAAGAAAAGCAAGGCTTGGTGAAATAGCTAATAGTGTTAGTATTTGGTAGAAATAATTTACAGAGCGTTGTAAATGCATATAGTGCTTTACAGGCACGAGGATCTGAGGTCCCTGCTGTGAGGCACTTAACCATCTGAAATAAAAGTAGTACAGAGAATAACAGTGCAAACACAAGGAGGCATAACAACATGTGATGAAGGTCTCGCCTTCTTTAGCTAATGTTTGCCTTTCTGGCTGTGAATTCAGCTAGACAGGCTGGCCTTCGTCATGTAAACTGTCTTTCAAATCAGACAGGTAAAAATGTAATCCAAAAATGAGTGAGTCTAAATTCTGGAAAATAAAGGAAAATATGTGTAAAGGTTCCAAGAATTAGCTCTTACAGTTGCTTTGCTTGTGTAGCAGTAATTCAGTTACTCATGCAATAACTGTAGGATTAGTCTGTAGGTTTTGCCTCTTGATTTTGCTTTAAAGTTTGTAGAAGCCCTCATATTAACAGCACAATTTTATCCAACTTTGTGGTGCAAGGGCCAGTTTCCAGAAAGAACTTGCGTCACTTCACTGGCCTTTTTGTCATTAGTTAATGAAGAGCCCATAAATACATGGTAGAACTAGTACATTTGGTTCTGAGAGGAGCCTTTTCTCTGTGTATTCAAAACCTACAGTAAGATTTCAAGGCATCTTTACTTTTCCTTTGTAAAGTATAATGATGTTGTGTTCTGCTTAAAGACATGAAAGATAATGATAGAAACAAAGTGAATTTAAGCAACTCAGATATTTGAGTACAGTATTTTTTATAGATTATCTAAAAAGTACTTTTACAATTTTTTTTATGTAGAGTAGCTAAAGTAGCTACAGTGAGTTGTTAATTCAGAATCTAATAAACAAGCCTATGATTGTGATTGCTGTGCCCCTTTTAATTTCCACTGCCATTTTTAGCTGCTTTTTTTTCCTATGTTAAAGGTGAGTTTTTAAGCTCAGTACTGTGTGCAAAAGATGAGTGTATTTAGAGAAGACAGGCTGAGTGAATAAGCAGAAATGGGGAAAATATTTGATGTGAACTGCTGTGAAATGAGCCAGCTGGATGAGCTAAACACTCACACATACAACAAAATGGGTGTTGTGACAACTGCAGATTTTTAAAAGTATGGCATTACAATGGCTGTTTTATAGATTTTTCACAGGGGAAGAAAGTTAACTTGTAAACAGAGTCTTTTGGAGAGGATTAAAAGCAGGTTTTGTTTTCTTCAGTGCTGCATGCAGGTGTGCGGCTGCAGTGACTGTGTGTGGCTGGACTTACTGTCCATAGTCTCTCCTAGGAGCGTCGGAGTCAAATTGAGATGTGGCTTGTTTTGATCTTGGTTTTGGGGATGCTGTGATGGTGGTAAAACTGCCAATAGGTCATTGCAGTGTGATTCACAGGTTAGGAGGAAGAAAAACCGTTGTAGATGTAGGTGTTAGAGCTGTACTGTGAGGAGGGCAGGGAGAGTGAGGATTGAAGTATGAAAAGAAATAGACTGGAAGGGCAATAATATGGTGGACATACTGATACAGCTTTACAAGGGAGGGAGGAGATGCAGAAGTCTGGTGACCCCCACCCCATGTCCTCAGTAGTCCAGAGGCTGCAGAGTGGCACCACACATCAGAGAGATTTCATTGACTGAGGTTGGTATCTTGAGATGTGTTAGGTGTTGGCTAGCGATTGGGTGGTACAAAATTCATACAAGTGCAGGCTGTGAGCCATATGGCAGATGACACTTCATTAGAACATGGGGAATCCTGCCCAAGAGCCAGTAGAGGCACAAGAGTTGGACTCGGTGTTTCAGTATGCCACCGTGATCTTGCTGGATGACCTCTAAATGCTGACCTTATGTATTAACTGTGTGTACAAGCTGATGAAATTGCTAAGACCTGTTTTAACCTGATAGGTTTTTACCTTTCAGTAGAGTATTTTTAATCTATTTGTAGCAATTACAAAGGGGAGAAGTATGTTCTTTTTAAAGTCTTACCATGCAGCTAAAACAGTTTGAATGCAAGGTGCCTGTGTGCATGTTTTTATTTTCTTTCTCCTTTACATCTTGGTGCCTTTCAGTGATTAAGACAGAGCTGAACAAACTTAACTGCAACACTTTTTGCTTCTAGGGGAAACCTTAATTGTGAGTGTTCAAGTCCAAATATAAAGAGTCACCAGACTGTTTTCTGTCAAAGTAGACTCTAACATCTTCTAAATGAGAATTAGGCAAGGCAGTATGATTTTTTTTAATGCAGCAGTTATTATGTTATTTTATTGTAGTTACAGTTTTCAAAGAGGTAACATTGCTCTTAATATGTCTGAAAAATAGATTAAGGTTGACCTTTTAATTCTTAAGAAATTATAAAAACCTGCTGTAATGAGCACACAAGAGTTTTGGATAATTCTGATAGAAATGGTGAGCTCAGTACTGGATCACTCATATTCAGAACTAAGAGTCTTTGTTTTTCTAAGAGGGATATTGGCAAGAAGACCAGACTTCTTGTTTTTTAAAAGATTTCTTTTACCTGTAGGAATTACAGGAATGTAAAAAGTGTTTAGCAAATTCTGTTTGGTCTGGGTCATTCGTCTTTTGGTACAAGAGACATAGCAGCACTTAATTTGAACCCATGTGATGTTTTTTACAAAATTAGATTTAAAAAGCAAACAAACCCATAAAAAATTAACAAAACCTGAAAAATAGCACTTAACTCTGTAATGACTAATTCTGTTTTTGTTTATTAAATTTGGAACTAGTCTTTTACAGTCCTAACACACTCAGAGTTTTTGTGAAACATGTTTATTAAATGCTTTGGGATGCTTGAGGAAAGCCAATACATAGGTAGAAGTGTTATTACTTTAAGGACAATACAGAGCCAGTATTTAATTAAGGTAAAATGAAATTTGGAAGAGAAATCAATTTTGTACTTTCTGTGTTTGTTTATTAAAAAATAATACTGTCGCTCTTGGTTAAACTTAAGATGCTGGGTTTTTCTTCACTTAGGAAAACTATGAACGAATGAAAGTGCTGGTAACCAAACTCCAAGAGCAAGCAGAAAAAATCAGATTAGGTAAGTATGATAGTCTAGATTTTAGAACACTTGTTTAATTTGGTACAAAAACCAGTTTTGTTC